ACTCATGCATGCAATTACAAGTAATCCATAATAATATTTTTTAAATATTTGGAAATGATATTTATTTTTGGTATATGGATTTTTTTAAACTGTTTCTAAATCTTTCATTGTCTTTCAATCATTCCACCTCACCTACTTTCCTTTTCCACTGCACCTATGATCCGTGCCACACCATTTAGGAACCACTGCTCTAGGCATATACATTTCACCTCAAAGTTTATTTCCATTATTGGAGCCACTTAAAAAAAAAGGAAAAAGAAAATTCCTAGTAGAAGTTTTCACTCTGACACTTGTAACAGACAGGACATTAAAAAAACAACAAAGGCTTGTCAGAGAAATGATCTTATTGAATCAACATTAATAAAAAGAAACAAGTGTTTTTCAGCCAATGAAGATCTTTAAAAAGAAATTAAAGAAACACATCTATCTGATCCACTTTTACTGAAGCCAATCTTTTAAAATGACTTTAATATATTTAATGGCATAAACATACACGGAATTAACTAAAGTACTGAAGTCAGCAGTCATACCATTTTGTCAGAAGTGAGAAACTTTTCCTTTACCACAATGGCAAAGAGAAAATTCATACTACCCAACACCAAAGGAAACTGACTTAAGTGATAATTGATATGAGTAAGAAAGAATTTTTTCAATTTAACTTTCATTTGTACACTTCTTTACTACTTTCAAATCAACTCAAAAATTCAACCTACTTTGAATCTTTAATCAAACACGTCAAATTCATACAAAAATATATTTCCTTCATTAGACACAAAAGTAAGGAACATTACTAAATGACTTTAATGCTGCATTTCTCTTTATCAGTTTAAATTCTAAAAACTGAATAATGTAAGTAAATAAATTTGTTATTTTTGATATGTCAATGTAATTTTTTTTTCTGCCATCCAGTAACAAATATCACAAAGTCTTAACTTGTCAAGGCTTATTTCTTATAGTTAATGATTATACACTAAAAAGACAAAAGTTGGTGTTCTTCTACTTAAAACTTTTAACCATTCAGCTAAACCAATATTATATATTAGCTAATTTCATTAAAAATTTAAAGTAGTATTTGTTAGCCTCATGTAAAGCTTGTTTTTTTGTCAAAGGAATTTCAGGTTTTCCTTTTCTGGTTTTGTCTGTACTATCAATTTCAGGAATGTCAGTCGTGTAGTTTTCTTTAATATACTACAATGCAGTTTATTTTCAATGTATTGTATGATATATCTTATGTTGAAATCATTATAAAAAAATCAGCTATGCAATAAAAATAGATTAAAAATGCTCTCTCATATATTCCATATATTTTAGCTATTAGGAACCAGTGTCAATGATCATAAAATCCTAGCAATAAATGACTTGCTCTATGATCTTTTAAGTCTGTTTTACTGTAATTATTTTACCAGACAAACAATTGTTTTTTTTTTCCTTTTCTCTTTATGTGACAAGCTCATGTCTCCTGGTATTATTACTTAGAACCAGTAGGATATATTTGTTATTCATAATGCTAATAAATAAAAAAAGCCTTGTCACTCAGTTACAACCTGTTAAACACTTTTTTGATGCACAAAATTAGTCAATGCAAGACTGAACAATTATTTATTGTTACTCCCACTGTTTCTTTTTGTTGAATTGAATTCTTTACATTTTCCTGTTAAAAAATGGCAAACAACAACAAGTCATAGAATAGAAAACAAAACTGAATCTAAATTACAATTAGGCTGGTATTTAACTATGGCATGCATGAATTAAGGACTTCATCTGCCACACAATGATATTTCAAATCAAGATTTCCAAAATGCACACAGTAAACATACATATTATATTTGATAGTATTTTTATGGCAGTTGTTATAATGAACTTTGCTCCTTGGTACCTTGAAGTGTAGTACTAGATTGGCAACTAGGTCTCAATTTTTTAATGTTGAAATAGCTAAATATAACAGTAACTTCTATTCTAGTAGTTTTTTTTTTCTTGCACTCCTGGTCTGTGGAACTCTCTTCCAGATTCTTGCTTCCCTGTCACCTATGATCTTCAGGAATTTAAATGCAACATCAATCACCATCTTCTATCTTTCTGAATCCTATTTTTTTATTGTCTTTTCTTCTCACTAATGTTTTCTCATTTCCTTTCATTCTCAGTAATCTTAATGGCATTATTACCTTGTTTGGGGGGAAATGATTAAAAAAAAAACATACTGGCATTTAAGACACACATTCAGTTTCGTCGAAAATATTAAGAAAGAAGTTTTTAGAGCATTGTAGTGTGTACAATTTGTCACATAGAGCCTGTGAAAGTTTGGGGAGGGGTAACAAAGGGGATATTTTATCCCATCAGATACAACATATACAGATACATATGCATGCATATATATACATAGTTATGCATACATAATCTATCTTTACAAGAGCCACATCAGACCAAAAATGGAGTATTGCTGCCATATCTGAAATGGAGCTATCCTGTCCTCACTTACCTGAATGGATAGAGTTAAAAAATGTTCACACGACCTTGTGGGTGATGAATTATATTCCACCTTACAACCCCTTTCCCACAAATGAAACATTGTGAGCCTCTTGCTACTCTATTGTTATTTCTGTGGTATGTGTTCTGATGAGCTACATTTCTTGGTCCCACCAGCCCTGATTATTCCAACTGGGACCCACCCTGCCACGTACACAAGGATGAATCATCCCCATTCCCTTCGTATTCCATTAGTAAGAAAGAAGTTCCACTTGGACAGCTTCTTCCTAAGAACTTCTGCTTTGTGGAAAGATGATTTCATAATCATAATGATTTCTAGTTTAGGGTTGACTTATATTTCCAGCATTACCCTATGAACTTCAGTTCTTGCATTTTCTTATGCTCATAAGTAACCCTCTACCTTGGTGGCTCATGGGCCTTGTATTGAGTGAATATTAGCATACTATATATATATATATATATTGGACTCTCCAAATGATTTTGACATACAAAGTTTCAAAAGCTTAATTTTTCAGTTCTGATATTTACACATCTCATGAAACTTTATCCAAATTATTTGCAGGCAAGTACACACACACAAGTATGTATATAGTTATACATACATACATACATATATATATATATATATATATATATATATATGTATCAGTATTTGTTTGCATGTATACATATGTAACTTTATATATGTGTGTGCATGAGTGAATCTAAAAGTAAATAAGATGAAAAATGCTATCAAATGTAGTGATATATTTCCCAAGGCTTATTTTAATAAAATGTTGACTAAAACTGAAAATGCTGAGGTGGCTTACATTAGGTTTTAAAGTTTTCCTTCTGCTTGAACCTTCTTTTGACTTTTTAAATTTAAAGATAATTAAGTTTTGTTTATTGATGCAATGTACCAAACTATCAGCTTCATATTCTTAGGGATAAAAATTATATATATATATATTTCTTTAAAATCTTTAATAGAGAAAGGAAAGTTACTACATTTTGATTTTAGACAAAGAAGGAAAATTTTTTTTAAAGAGCCCCCCCCCTAATTTTTAATCATTATATAACTGATAGCATATATGGAAATATAAGAAATAAAATATGTGAATTTGGAATTATTGTTTTATGGATGTTTAGCAGCATGCAATTAAACTAAAAAGGGAATATAAATAATTATAAAATAAAGATTGAATTGTAAGAAAGAAAAAATACTAAATATAGCATATTTATATATTGATATTGATTATTACCTACATTTTTCAGGATTATTTTCGTGTGTCAAACAACCTACGTTGTTCAATGTTCAGTCATACTATTATCCTGTGTATGTTTATACATTTAAAATCATGTGTGTGCGTATATCCTGCCAATTCCATTTTTCAACACTTGCTAGACAAACGTCCCCACTCCTCCTGTTCACTCCTCCGCCCCAAATGACGTCCTGAGCAAGAGTTGTGGTTCTTGGTAGAGTTTTTTTTTTTTTTTTTTTTTTTCTTGCTATTTTATTGTATGTTATTTTTTTTATTTGTTTTATTAGCTGCTTGTATTATTGGTTGGTTGCTCGTTTGAATAACACACTCGCGCACTAAGAGTGATTAAAATACAGTAGCTAAAAAAAAAAAAAAAAGAAAGAAAAGTGAACGTAATTCCTCGACAAAGGGAGAACGTGCAGTCAACTCTCTAAACTGTCCGTCAGTCAGTCTAGTTGTAAGCAGAGAGGGAAACGACAACGACCTGTTTCAGCAAGTAGGCGGTTCCTAGACGGAGGGAATACGACGAATAATTCAAATGTTGTTACAGAGATACAGTACAACAGGCTGCAGAAGACGTAACTGAAGACCTGGAACAACGACAACAGGACTGACTTAGTTGCTGGTAGTGGGGGATTTATTATGGAATAATTATTATTACTACTAAAAATGGGCTTCTTACGCTAGTTAAATCTTTCTTCTAAAGCCCCCCAAAACTAGAAAAAAAATGATATTTATTTATTTCTATTGCAGCTACTGTATTGAATGCATTGGATGATAGCTGTTCTTAGCGGTCGCCTCTTCATCGATAATTAATTGTTGATGAAATATGACGGCTTTTCGGGGTCTGCTATGCTCGGAAAAGCTTGGAAATAAGGCGTATCGCTTTGATGGTAACTGTTGGCCACTGCTGACGACGACATCGACGTTGCGGGAATTTGGTTGTTGCTCTTCGTCTTTTTCATTTTCTTCATCAATTCATCATCGACATTCCGACGCCAACGTTGCTGCGTCTCGTTATTCTTGTTGCAAAATAATGCCGACCACTGCTTGCATCTCAGGAGTTTGTTGTAGCCGATCATTATTCAATTATGATTACTATTATTGCCGCTTCTGTGGACGTTGTTTAACTTAAATAAAATAAAAAAATTAATACAAACGGAGGAAAAATTTTACGTAAAAACAAAACAAAAGGAGTGTACCAAGCGACACCTATTATTACACACAATACACATCGTATATATTATCTATTGGGCCTTTATTAACAAAACAAACATGGATAAATCATCGAATCAGCAGCAACAAGGAGATGCTGTGAAGGTTGCACTCAGGTAAATAAAATTAATTACCTTGAAAATTATTATTTGTAAGTTTAACTTTTTTTTTTTTTTTTAAATAAAGGACTATTTTTTTATTTTTTTTTATTGTTCATATAAGTTCTGTTACGGTGACAATATAAAATTAAAATGTTATTTTAGTTAATAAAATAAATATAGTTAAAAATAAATTAAGTTTTTTAGTGATATTTCTGGTGGACGTGACAAAATTGCACCCCCCCGTTTTTCAATCTGATTTTTAATGTTATCCATTTTTTTAATTTTATTTTATTACTCTAGCCTTGCAGCAACTTATCTGTTTTCATTTTCTTTCTAATGTCTTTTATAATACACCACTGAGGAAAAAAAAAAAGTTCATTGATTTATGAATGAACTCATGCTTCGTTTCTTTAGTATTTAAAAATTATTTAGCATATGATTATTTACACTTGCAATACAGTAGTTTCATTCATAGTTACTGCATTTCTAATGTAAATAAACTGCGAGTAGGTTTTTAGTTAATTACAGAACAAGAGTCTGCTTTTCTTTTAAATGATATTATTAGTAGACCGTAAAATGTTCGCTAATGCTTTTCTTTTTATTTGAATTTTCTCTGAAGTCAAACAAACAAACAAAAAAAAAAAGAAAACCTCACACAGGTGTTTGTGTTGTGGCACGTTACTCTTATTGTCAAGGATTCCACCACGTCATCTATTTTCTAAGTTTTTTTTTTCTTTTTCTTACAATATAACCCCCCAAGGGTGGAAGTAAGGATGCTTTTATTAATAATGAAACATGCTGTTTCTATTTTAATTTTAAATCGGTGACACGTAGAATAGTACCACTGACAGTCCATGTCTATTGTCAAATTCGACAATAGACTTTTCTTTTTTCTTTTTCCAAAATACCAAAAAATGTATATCGCACAATAAGTAAATAATCCTTCTATTTTTGTGTTTATTAATTTTATAAAACGTCTTTAAAAAATTCGTCTTGGCACCATTATTAACTGCAAACGTTAATTTTTGAAACTTAAAAACGCACCCTAGACAATTTTTTTGCGTCCGAGTGGCGTGTAATAATGGGATTTATTTTTCATTTGTGATAGTAATAAATTTGTGTCCGGGCGCAGACATAAGATTAAAAAAAAAAAAAAAAACCCAAAATACTGACTCAATATTATTATTTAAGGCCGTTTTTTTCCTTGGAAGTTTCTCCTGAACTAACATATTGTCCCTCCCTGGTCTTTTCCTGTTTGGCCTTGCAAAATACTGAGGTGAAAATCTTAAGCCGACACTTGAAGCGTGGGGTATGGAGATAGTGATTGTGTTTTCGTTTTTTTTTTTTTTTTTTTTTTTTGTGTGCGAGTCTGTGTCATAGTGAGTGTTATGTGAATAATAAACCCTAGTAACTGTACTCAGTACTGTAGTGTAATTTGCACCAACACCTGTACAACTAGTAATGTTGTCATTATTTGCAACATTTGTGAATAGAATAGAAAATATGGAAGGCTAACACCTGAACAAAACATTCAGTTCATGGTTTGGTTTTTAGTATCACTCTCCACCTTCGAAATTAATTTCTGAAGAAATATACAACCCCATATCAACAAATAAAACCGGTATACCGTATACAGATTTTTTTTTTTTTTTTTTTTATATGGCTATGGTTACTCAATGAATATTTGTTTATGCTGCTACTAAATAAATAAAATTTAAAAAAACATTTTACTGGCTAAAAATAAAAAAATAATAATTAAAAAAAAAAAAAAATTTGGAGAATGGTGCTGTTTTCTTTCCTCGTCAAAGAATTATTTAATGTTTCTGGAGAGTGTTGGTTAAAGAGATAAACTCCCCCCTCCTCACTCTCTAATCGATTGCAATTAAATATTTTGTATTGACCTGTTGCTAATAGCGGCAGTTCTATTAGAATTTTTCTATCGAAAAACACATTGCCTGTCTTAATTTGAAAATCGGCTCTCGTCTCCACAACTCAATAGTTGTTGATAGGTGCTCTTTCTGATAGATTCTGCACGGATGTCATAGTTTTACTTTCTGTTAGTAATGCTTGCCTCTATTTCTCATTTTATACATTAATAATTGGCTCGTAGAAGTTGTAAGCTGATAACTTAAGTAAGAAGAAAAAAAAACCAAACAAACTAAAAAGGATCTTCTAATCCCGCTTCTCCACCTCTTCGATGAAGGAAACAAATTAAAAAAAGGACAGATATAATTGGCGATTAAATGTCATTTTTATAATCTTATCTTACATTACAAGAAGAGTCAAATGAAAATAACTTTCTGTTGTTGTTGTTTTTTTTTTTTTGTTTTTTTTTTTCAAGCTATTTGATTAAGAAGCTAGAGCAGAAACTTATATTCAAAAACAATGTAAACAAAAATGCATTTTGATTTTTCTCAAACTTTTCAATCTAAAAAAAAAAAAAGTATGGAATTTACGATTTTTAAGTATTCAGTACTTACTTGGTTGCTAAAAACTACTTCCTTCTTAATTTTTTTAGTTTGTGATCAAGATTTCTTTCCGACTTTAAGTGAAACTAAAGCGAATTCATTAATATTGGAAATTGAAATATAAATTTCATAAGGTTTTTATTTTAAAATTATATTTTGAACAGAGGTCTCAGGTAAACGAAAGGACAAACAAAAAACGGTTTGAAAATATTTTCCCTTATTTGAAAGATCAAGGATGTTTTTTGCAAATTGAGTAAAAATAAAATTAAAAACCAGGATCAAATTGAAATAAATTGGAACTTAAAAATCTGAGATTTTCCGAGACTCGTTAAAGCACATGTTTTCTTTTATAAATGGTAGTTAAAGAAAGGTTAATCTTCATTTTCTTTGTTTATTATATTTTTTCTAAGATGTGTAGATATGGATTTTAAAAAAAAAATTTAAATTTTTTTATCTACAACTAGAAACAGCACAAATCCATCTTAGCTCATTTGTGTACTGAACTTGAGCTTAATTAGCATAAATAAATCAGACGGGTAATAATTAGAAAAAAGAAGTTTTTTACCTAATTGATTGAAGCATCCTAATATTTACTGTTTTTTATTCATTGTTTAAGTTAATAAAACTAGTTTAAATAATAATTGCTAATTTCATGAAGATATTGTTTTTTTTTGTTCAAGTGGATTATAATCTCATCTCATGGAATCTTGGTTCTTTGAGATTTTGTACAGTATTAGTCACATTTGAACTCTTACCTAGTGTTTTTTAGGAAAGTAATTTTCTAGTTAAATTTTGGAAGAAAAACAACTTTTTACCTCACAAGTAGACGGGAGTTTAAATCTTAGCTTATTTAACATTTTTAATAAAGGATAGTTAAGTAAAGATCTCAGCACAAGCATATCTTTCTTTGTTTTAAGTTTACAATACATGACCTTCCCACACGACAAGATGCTTTTTTATTTGTTAAAAATAAAATTAAAAATTTCAATATCAGCTTTTTTATTTCTACCTGTTCGTCAAACTCAAAATACTCGTTCCTGTTTGTGTCACTCAGAAAATGGATCTATTTGTTGATAATATAATTTGTTTGATCCTTCTTGTTCAACTGCACAAAGCATGTTGAAATTGTGGAAATTTTTGTTTAATTTTTCCCCCCAGAAAATAAGAACTGTGTTCTGTGTAAAAAGTTGATCCTTAGATTTTCATTTTGAGAATGTCTGATTAATTAGTCGTCAGAATAAATATGTATCACTTAGGGCAAAGAACCCCATTGATTGATCATTCAAAAATAATTTTCTTTCGTTCGTAAAATAATATAGAATTAATTAACTAATGAAAATAATAATGCCTCCAGATAATTGTTCAACCCTAAGGACTAAAGTAGCGTTTTTGTAACTTATTTTGTTAATCATGGGTAATCGAGTTTTCTCAAATTTAATTTGCATAGATAGAAATTTAATAGTTTAAGTTCGGATTTGTTATTGTAATTGTTTAATAAAATTTAATATTAATAATAAAAAAAATGGGTTAAAAGCAGGCAATGTCAATGAATGCTATTCTAATCGAACATAATAAAAAATAAAAATGTATGATTTGTTGATTGATAAATAAGTGTTGTTTTCATGTTAAACGTAAAGTTACAAGTTATTAATTACGCGTATTTAAATTGTCCTTCAGATTGACTTCTGGGAATTTTGATCCGAACCTTTTTTTATTCAGTCGTCGGGGATACCCTATACGACGACATGAAAACAATCTACTCATGTGGATTGAAGAAAGGATTCGGTTCGAAATCCCGAAAAGTTAAAGGAAGCCGGAGCGTTGAGGACACAAGCCTGTGTAAATCGGAGTTAATAATTCGTCTACCCCCCCCCACCGCCAAAAAACAAAACAAAACAAAACAAACCAAAACCTAACGTTATATTTTGCAAAGCTAAGTGCTTAATCTACTAAGTACTGATCTTAATCAAAACCTTTGCATAATTGAATAATCTTATTAATGTTAACCTTTTTTGTTCCATGTCAACTTCAACGAGCACTTAGTGACCTGTGTGCGACGGTCAATTGCATTACAAATCAGTTTTTGATAAATTGAACATTTACTTTTTGGTTTAGGCGCTTTTATTTTTCAAATCGATTGAAAATCCTTAATCTATTCAAATTTTATCCCTTGAAAAATATAAAGATTTTTTTGTATTTGTTTCATACTTTTTAAAAAATCATGAAATCTGTTTAGTGTTACTGTTTTTAATTCTTTTTATTGTGAGTTTCTAGTTTGATTTTATTTTTGTACTTATTTGCTTTGTAGAGTTCCCTTTGTTGCTCATTAACTGATTTCATAAAAATGAGATTTGCATTTAAGCTCATGTGAGATTCGTTCATCTTTTTTTTTTTCTTTTTTTTTTTTTTTTTTTTTTTTGTGTGTGTGAGTGGAAAATTTAACATTTTTGTTCTTTCACCAATTTTTGTTCTGCAAATGCAGTTGTTAACTAACAAGCTCAATAGCTCAATAAAAGAAAAGATCTCTGCAAAAATCTTTCAATAATA